TGTTGGCAAAGAGCTAACAGAGTTTCCTTGATCATTGCAGCTGGGGTATGAGTCACCTAGTCCACCCCTTAAATCATAGCGGGCTGACAAAACACTCCAGAATGGACTGTACAGGACAATTCCTCACTGTCAGGAGAGCAGATAAGATGGGCTAACGTTCACGGTGCTATTTCATATCCTCTCCTCTGCAGGCGCCGCGCTTCAGCTGACAGCGGAAAGTTGATAGCCCCAGAGAATCCAGAGTATCTTTGCTTTTAATCATAAAATTGTTTGTAGGTCTTTTTGATTAAAGCCACGGGAGCGGAGCTCACCTGAGAGGCTCTGCAAAGCTGCCCTGCTCCGCTTGCCGCCAAGTCACAGGAGCTTTGGGTGCTCAACAGCTCTCCGAGCGGATCGGCGGCGGCAGCCCGCGGGGCTGAGCCCTGGTGTTCATGTAGACTATGTGCTAGCACCCAAAAATTCTCCCAGGACATATCCCTGGCGATGAGAAAGATGGTTGGACTTGATCATCTCAAACGTCTCTTCTGACCATAATGATTCAGTGATTCTAAAAGGGAGGCTCTCCAGGTTGTCCTCCAGAGCCAAGGTGTGCCAAGGTGCTGGGCTTCCTACCTAGGCTTGCATCGGTACCATGCAGGATCTCTGCGCTGTTTTTATGCTCTTTTTAAAWTTTTTTTCCCCTGCAGATATAAATACAGCCTGGCGGGTTGCTGTTTGTATGTGTTTAGCAGAACAATCTGGCATGGTTGGCTTTATTACGGCACCTAAGATTTTATTGCCCAGATCTGGTATTCACTTTTCTCATCTGCCTCGCAGTGAGGTGAGAAGGGAAAAAAAATGAAAAGGTTTTTAGCACTTGACTGCACTTGTGTCTTGCACAGGACTCGACTTCCTCTCCGCGGCCRCTCCGTCCGCACGGCTCCGCGCTTCCTGCTGCGCTGGGTGAGCGCCCGGGCCCGCTGCTGCTCCCGGCTCTCTGCTCGCTGCCTTTTGGGGGAACATTCATTATTCCATATTTTCAGCAAATTACCCAGCTTTACGGCTCTTAGTATAAATCTAATTATCCATCTGCTACGCTGTGTTGCGGCGCTGCGGCTCGTGGCACTCCTGTTCCAGGTTATTAAGCTTCTTGCCTTTGTCCTCTCGCAGCTCACGCCAGCCGGGCTTTTCCCCATGGAAAAACGTCGCCTTTTTGGCCCATCCGAATCACCAAATGGTCTGCCTGGCTCCAACTTGCTCTCCACAATTCTGTTCTCCTCTTAGCCACAAATACCTGATAAGCTAATTGCTCATTAAGCCCTCGGCTCCCTCCGTGTCACCCCTTGCTCCCCACTGAGCCCGGCTGCTCCCTGTGCCGAGCACTCGGCTTAGCAGCAAGTGAGAAGGCAGCATCACCTTGAAGTGGAGATTTTCATCTTCTCGGCATTTTTCTTCCCTTTTTTTTTAATGTCTCTCCTCCGTTCGGCGCTTTTGAACATCTAACGTCTCTTTCATGCCTCACATGCTCGGCGCAGAATTGCTGGATCGTGCTGCCCTCTCGAAAGCTCCCGTCCCTTTTGTCAGGTTCTCCCCTTCGCCCCCGCTTGCTTCTCGGCTCTGTTTCCATCGGTGTGACTATTTAGGGCTCTGCTTTGCTGGGTGGTTTTTGATCTCCAGAGGCGAAGGCTCTTCTCTCGGATAAACCAGGTTTTGCAAAGATGCTCAGAGAATAGATTTTTTTAGGCCAGACTTGCCCGAAGTTGACCTTGGGGATGCTTCCCACCCATCGCTTTTAGAGGCGGTTAGTCGACATTGCCCTTGCTTGTTTATTCTTTGTTTTTTACTTTTCTAGAGCTGTACCTTTATCATTACCCAGCCTGTCTTATATTCTGTGCGCAAATGACCCATCTCCTCCTGGATAATGTGGYATTCTGCGGTAATGGGAAAGCTCCCTGTTAAATATGTATTTCAGGAAGAGCTTCGGCAGCCACGCACGGAAGCATCATTTGCYGCGCAACATCCCAGGCATCCCGGGCACGGAGCCGGGTGCTGGCGCTGCCGAATTACGTGCACTGAATTGTGCCAGTTATCCTGCCCTGGGGCACCCACAGGCACCTGCCTGTTCTGCACCTCCTTCTCACTTGGGCTATTAACTTTTTCCATAAACCTGGAATCTCAAATGGGACCGGACGAGCATTACCAAGCCGTCGATCATCCTGCACGTTCCTTCTGCCCTCATTCCGAGGCAGAGATTTACAGCTAGGACTGCGGATACCACCATTACTGAATGGCCATTACCCCTCCAAGTGCTGACATGGCAAGGATCAGTGTATCACCCCAGAGTCACATAATTTTAACATCCGTGTGCTTGCACGGTCTGCCAGAAATTCTCCAAGTTTTCCCTCTAAAAACGTTCCCGGTCTCCTCCTGTGCTTTGGAGGAGAGGAGAGACGCATGGAAGCTCATGCAGCCTGTGACTACCAAGCCTTAACATCCCGAGTCCTGCCTGGTGCTGAGCTGCAGTTACTGCCTTCCTCCCTGCCCAGCTCTGTGCTGCCAAGTCTCCCACCCCCTTCTCTCTGCCTTTTTTTCCCCCTCTTTCCTAATTTAAATCTCATTTTGCTGCTGCATCACATTGCAAATTCCCGTTGTGCTCCAAGCTCTGCTCTTGCCTCAGGGCTGTGTTGCTGCTTTGCAGTCTTCCCCTGGCCCTCGGATGTGTGGTCGCGAAAAAATCCCTCTTAAAAGCTCTTGAGAACTCCAAAAGTCTCTCTTAAATTTTCACCTGTCATCCTGGGAGTCAGGCTGTGCAAGATCTAAAACGGCCCCGTGCCACCAGCCGTGTAGTTCACTGCTTCTAGTGGCAGATCCAAAGCATCCCCAAAACAACATCCAGGGAAAGCTACAGCAGTGCCAGAGTGGATCTGCAGCAGCCACACACGTGGCCGGAGCGTGGGCCGGGCTGCTGGTGACCCCGCAGCGAGAGCGGAGGCACCTGCGAGTGGGGCCCACGTGTGCTCGGGGCAACCTCCACCGCGCCGGCTGACAGCGCTCGCGGGGCCTCCAGCAGCTCGTCCCGGTACCAGGACCTTGCTGCTCCCACTGACAGCTTTAACAGAAGGGAAAGAGGAGGAAATGAAGCTGGGGCGCTGAAGCACCTTCCTTCATCTCCACGGTCCTGTGTGGCCGCACTTAGGGAGCTGCGCTATTGCTTCCACGCCTGTTTTCATTCCTCCTGCTGCCCTCTCCTTGCGCTGCCAGGACTTGCGGTGCTCAGACAAGCCGTCCTTGGGGGTAACAACTTCCCACAGCTCCCAGGATTGTAAGTGTAACGCGGTGAAATAKCAAGTGGTGGAGACTGCAGTATTGCCTGCTGCCCTAGTGAGCTGCTGCAGAGAGCTCAGGGGCAGGTTTCCCTCTGTGTCTGAGGTGGAAGCAGTGTGGGGGGCAGCCCCCATCCTTGCTAGGTTCGTTGTCTCTGGTGGTCCATGTAAGGGATGAGAAGAAACATCTCCCGTCAGCAGGGCCGCCTGGAGTCTTCGTGAGTGGAATYGGCCTGCGCAGTGGTTTGAAAGCACAGAGAAGAGCGGACCTTGGACCACTCTGTGAAGGAGGCCATCATGTCCAAAGTCTTCATTATCAGCTGGTGAACCCAGGTCTCTGCTGTCGCCACAGCATTGCTGGGGCAAGTGCCATCACAGGCCGTGTTCAGGCTTAGCCTCAGCTTTTCATTTCAGCAAATCTCCTCGCTGATGCCAGCATCCCCTTATCTATTAACAGATTAGCACAGCTTGAATTTCCTATGATTGTAGTCCCTGGTCTGGCTCATTGTATTTATTTTGTCCGGGCTGCTTTTCCCTGGGCTTGACAGTGCAATTTGTACAGATCTGTGCTGAGTTTTCAAAACCCTGAAATGAGCTTTGCGTTAGCACACAAGTAGGGCATTAGACAGGAGCAACCTTGGAGAGCACCTTCCACCCGGGAAGACTTCCTAACCTCTCCAGTTTCTCCTTACCAAAGCTCCACGGTTCAGAGGTTTTAATTACAACTGATACTCCAGGTGACTGGTGAAGCATTAAAAGGCATACGATTTTTTCGGTTAGATCTCTCGCTGTAGMGTTTTTATTATTTATTTGAGATAGGTGTGACAAAAGAACCTCAATATCCCAAGCTTCATATTTTGCTTGCATAGCACTAGGAGAGCTGCAGCCGAAGGAGATTCTCCTTGCTGTACAGCTGCAATCAGAGATGTGTCCACCTGCAAACTTGTTTCTCGACTCTGGTCTTGCTCGTCCAGGGGAAATTTCAGGTGCGACAATCAGATTTTCAGATGAGAAGTTGAGTTGTCATCGTGTCAGAGCTGCAAACTCCAACACGGAATGTGAGGATGCAGCTCTGTTCTCCTCGACTCTCTTATTCTCACCGGCAACGAAGCCATGGTGCCCGGAATGGAGCTGCAAGTGTTGCTGATGTGCCAGCAGAGCCTGACACCCACCCGCGTGACATCCGTGGCGGCTGCTAGCAAAGCTCAAAGCAGAGGCCAACAAAACCTAGCTGTACATTGGGAAAGGTAGAGACCAAAGCTGTCATGTTGGAAAAAGATCGAGCCGGAGAAGTGGCTCATCCTCCTCCTGCCCGCTTTGCTGTGCACATYGGTTTCATCTCTGCATCTCTGTAGCTGCTGGGTGGTTTGGAGATGCGTGGGGCTCGTGCTGCAGGCCGGAGGCATCCAAAGGGGACATGTTAGCCTGGGTCTGTCACAAGGAATGAATTCAGCCATTTGGGAACCGCTCGTGGCGAGGGGTGCGTGGGCGGTGAGACCGGGCACAGTTTGTGACTCAGAGGCTCTGGACAAAAGGGCCTTTCTCCGGGCTCCGCAGGCCCAGGGCGATGCACGGGCAGGGCAGGGCTCTCCTAYGCTTCTCACCAGCGTCCGCCACAGGCTGCTGGTCCAGACAGACCGATATTTCTATGCGTATTGACATGCATTTTCGGGCATGCGTTTTGTTCTTTCCCCGCAGCAACCCCAAAGTGCAGATCGAGGCGATCGAGGCGGGGGCGCTGCAGAAGCTCCTGGTTATTTTGGCTACAGAGCAGCCCCTGGCCGTCAAGAAGAAGGTAAGCGGGTCGAGACGGGCCTACCTCGTTCCCTTGCTGCAGCACCCTGCATGAAGCCTCCTCTGTGCCGCACTGGATGCAAGCGTTCCTCATTCGCCCTGATGGGCCAGCGAGCGTGTTGCTTGTGCCCTGTGTGCATCGGGTTTTGCTCCTCACGGGGTGTCTCCACAGGGTCACAGGGGGGTCCCATGTGGCTCCCCGGCCTCCTGGCAGCGCCGCTGTGAGGGAAGTGGGATGGCAGAGCAGCCGGAGAGCCGCGGGGCGCCGGGAGCCGGCRCAGGGATCAGGGAGGGAGCTGCATCGAAGCTGACATGAGGAAGGAGCTAATTGCTGCYGCCAGCCCCGCGCGCTGCCCCCGGCACCGGCCAGCGGCCGGGGCCGCCGAGCGAGACCCGGGCAGCCCCGGGCTTAATGTGCAGCGCTGTCTGTTGGGGCAGGGGGGTCCCCGCTGCCTGCCCCCTGCAGCACTGWACTCCTTGGAGCATGAGATCTAATTACCCGCGCGTTAGCGTGCAGAGCCACCATGTACTGGCCACAAAATTACCTAAAAACCCAGCCCCAGCGTTTAACACAGCGACCGGCTGCAAGAGGGGCTTTGGTAGGACAAGGAAGCCAGGAGCTGCCTCTCTCCTTCTCTACCTGTGTGCCACGAGGTAAACTGTGACACGGTGCCAAAATCAGGATGGGGAGCACCTACAGAGACGTGTCCCTGCTGAAAGTCCTCTGGGCCCGCAGGAGCTGTGGCTCCCTTTCCCAGAGCAGAGCAGGCCAAGGAGGCGCCATGTTGGCTCCTTCACACCGCCCTGAAGGAAATGGGAGGTGGCAACGCCCGCKGAGCGGCCGGAGGCGACTCCGAGCATGTAGGACAGACACAAATTGGACGGGGGGAAGGTGCTGTCACTTCAGATGTGTCCATGGGGAGCGCAGGCCACCTCTGCATGCAAGAGGAGTCAGTTCAGATCGGGGGCAGGCCCCAAGATGAGGCGCCCTGGCCCTGCTATGGCGGGTGCCTTGCCCAAAGGGCGCACGCTCGGCCCGAGCACCTCGCTCAGCTCTTATCACATCGCTCCTAGGACTGGCAGGCGAGTGGAAAAATCAGTAGGTTGGCCCCTAATTGCCTGCTCAGTGTCAACCCTCTGCCTTGAGAGCCCTCCCAAAGCAAGTTCCCGCTTACCCAGATCACCTCGAGGGGGAAGGGCTCCGCTGAGTAGCGCCAGACTCTCCTTTAGCCCAAGCTGGCCTGGCCCATCTCTGGAGCCAGTTCTGCGTTCAAGAAAGTAGAGATGAGGCACTTTGGGACATGGTTTAGCCAGGGTGGYGATGCGTTTGTGGTTGCACCTGATCTTGAAGGTCTTTTCYAACCATAATGATTCTATGTTTCTGGGGACTGGATGGGAGAGCTGCAAGAGGAAATATTTGCTGAGGTTCAGCCCAAATAGTGCCACAAGCCACCATGGGGTATTTAGTGAGTGTGTCTATCTATGAAGAAGTTAGAAGCCACCAAGGCAGGCTGGCACACAGGTGCACAGYGAGCAGGGCTACTCACAGGCTGGTCTGAAAGGTCCCATGGCACTGGGGAGGGTGCCCACCATCAGCTCAAGCCTGGAAACCAGTACGGGACTGGTTACAACTGGCACAGGAGGGCCTGAGGTGCTGATGGACCGTTCTTCCCACCAGGCTCTCTTTGCCCTGTCCTCGATGCTGAGACACTTCCCCTATGCCCAGCAGCAGTTCCTCAAGCTTGGTGGCCTTCAGGTCCTCAGGGACTTCTTCAGGGAGAAAGGCATGGAGGCCCTCTACGTCCGCGTGGTGACGCTCCTCTACGACCTCATCATGGAGAAGGTGAGGAGCGAGGACACGTGGCGCCCATGGGGCCCTCCAGCCTCCGTGGGATCAGGGCAAGAAGAAGCAGTCCCTGCAGTGGGGATCAGGGTGCTCAGCAGCTCCCAGCACCTTGGCCACCACTGTTGGCTGCAGGATGAACTAGCTCGAACCCTGGCTTTTCAATAAGCCAAGATTTGCTGTTTCTACCTTGGGCTATTTAAAAAAGAAAAGGTAAGGGAAAAAACAAGCAGGAAAAATCCGAGGTGGATCTGCCATCAGCTTGGTATCACCGTCCATCCATGGCGAGATGCAGGCTGTTAACCAGCTGCCTAGAGACATGTGCCTGTGGTCCTGCCTGGTTCTGAGCAGAGCTGCTCTGCTGGTCTCTTGTTGGAGGCAAGCCCACAGCTTTTAACTGTTTTATTTTAGAATACCTTGGAWTACTGCTGTAAATGTCAGCTTAAAAATCCTGCTTCCTCGCCACCATTTGTTATTTAGCTTGTGCCTTTCTCTGACTCCAGAGAATGGGAATTAAATCCACTTTCACTCTGTTTATAGCCAATTTGTCCTGCAGATTATTACGGCTGTAAGACTTGGATTTCGGGCACCGCAGAGAAATGCCTGTGTTGAAAGCAGTTGTGTGGCAGGAGGTTTTGCAAAGGTGTGAATTATTTCGCTTGGTCCAAAGTTTTATCAAGCGTTGGCTCTGGCGTACGATGAACCCGTTTATCGAGCCACGCCGAAAGGGAATGATCTGCCTGGGCCTTTCAGCAAAACGCTTTCCATTCGCTCACGCTCCATGTTTTACTGCTGCACCTCCAGCAGTCCCATCTGTTCCCAGCTCTAGACTAACTGGAGGCAATCTACAGCCCCTACAGATGCTCCGTTTTATGTTAAATCCATGATTTTCACTGTCCTTCTGATGGCGGCAGCCACCTCCCCGCAGATAAGTCACTGCGCGCTCCCTTTCCAAGCCCGTGCTGAAAATGGGGAGGAAGCTCTGTACCAGGGAGCATCGGGGCCGGTYGGGATGAGGTGGACAGAGTTGGGGTGGCCTCAGGGAAAGTCAAGCAGGCTGCTCTTCAGCTGAGCATGGCCATCAGCCTTGGCCGCAGCCTGCTCTTCAGATGGAAGCACAAAGAGCAGTGGGTCRGAATAGCTTTTTGCACCTCACGTTTTCCTGTTTTTCCCCCAAATACTGTGTAGCAAATGTGCAAATGGGAGTCTTGCAGGGAGCCTTCCTGGGGGCACACAGAGGGTTCTTCCTTTTCTCCCTGTGTCCAGCCGAGCAGCAGTACAGTGTAGCTGGAGGGCACTCCGGTCAGTGCTCCCCGCCGCGCTGAAGCCCCAGTTGACCCTTAGCAGTGGTGCTGGAGAGGCAGGCGCTCGTGCTCTGAGCTGGTTAGTGAAGCACTTACAGAGCAATTATCACAGGGGACCCCAGCCGAGCTGGAAGGGGAGCCCTGGGAGGGAAGCAAAGCCCGTTTGGGGGCTTTTGATGCTGCCAGCAGCTACTCCGCCAAGGCGGCGCTGGGGCTGGTGGTGCCCGCTGGGGTGTTTCCTCCTGGTTGTGGCTGCTCCTCGCCCTCCCCACCAGCGCCGCTGYCGTGGGGCAACTCCCTGCAACCAGAGCGGAGCAGCCTGGTCCCTGGGGTCTGTCCCTGCACTGCCACCAGCTGTGCTGTACCTGCAGCAGCTACAGCTACTGTCCTGAATAGGTGGGATGCAAGGAAGGGACCTCATGGCATCCCCTTCCCTTGTGTCCTCTGCTGAGTGGAAGCTCTTGGACTGCCAGGGATCTGCAGTAGATGGAGTGTGTCTTGCTGTGCTGCTGCCAGGGCTTGTCCTTAGCTACAGTGAGGCTCAACGTGTCCCATGTGGCTTCTCCTCTCTGTCCTGGCTCTGTTTTCCACAGCTGCTGCTGGAGGACTCTCCGGACGGGGATCACACGCAAGAGAAAAKGGAGCAGTACCAGCAGGTGCGGCTGGTGCCGGCGGTGGTGGAGCAGGACTGGTGCACCATCGTGGCCAACCTCCTGGCCGTGCCTGAGCACGACACTCGCGAGAAGGTGCTGCAGACAGTGAGGGTGCTGCTGCCCTTCTGCAAGGAGCGCTACTGGGCCGACACACACCTCGCTACCRCGCTGCACCAGCTGCGCCACCAGTACCAGGAGCTGGCGGCTCAGGAGCTCCGTGAAGGCGACAGCGAGGGCTACTTCAAGGARCTCCTTGGCTCTCTAGACACCGTCATTCAGGAGTTGGGAGCAAAGTAGCTGCTGTTTCACTTCGATTCCAAGTTCAGCAGTGCGGATTTGGATGGTACGCGTGTAAATGCACTTTTGAATAAATTGCGGGGCTAAATGGGATCTCCCCACCACCAAGTGTCCTAATGGCTTYGTTACTGAAACACAAGTATTTTGGGGCATATTTTCCTTTGCTTAGAGTATTCCTGGGTAAATAGAGGCACTAGAAGCACAGAGGTAGTTTCAGCTTATACCAACTGCCACTCTTCAGCTCTGCCAAGAAATGGTTGAATATTCTGAGTCCTCCTGGGGATCTATTAGGTGGGAAGGCTTCAGGGAGCTGGGATTGTCCTTGTGCAGCTCTGACCTGCCTTTTCTTTTCCTTAGGGAAAAGTTGTCAGCAGAACAGCTGTAATCCTTCATTTCCCTCTATAGAACGTGCCTTGGCACCCAGGAAGGGCGGTTGGGTTTCATGCTTAGACTTAACTGAGAGCAGTGGGAAGGACTTTCATTCCATGGCAAGCGTGGTTGGTTGGAGGTGCCCTCTGGAGGTCACTGGTCCAGCTGTGCTCAGCACAGGGCTCCCTCCACGAGGCCAGCGTGGGTTCCGAGCACCTCGGAGCTCAGCGCCACCACCCCTGGCTGTGGGTTACATCTGCCAGGACCTTCTCCATGGTGGCAGCCCCTTCTAGGTGCTCTTATTCTGTGTCCCACCATGGTACAGCCACRCAAGCGCCTGCGCCAGGGTCACACACGACCCATGCAGAAGCCCTCCAAGAAGCCCCTTGTCCCCAGGCTGTGCCYGGAGCGGGGCAGGACTCTCTGGGCTGGCCTGGCCATGTGCTCTCCCTGGCGCCTCCCCATCACAAATAGGTGTCCCCCAAGGCTGCACCGAGGCCAGTTCCATCCCCACCAGCCCGCAGAGGAGCCCCGCAGAGCATCAGCCTCCATTTGCCCATCACTTACAATATACACACACCTAACGGGCACGACTGGCTGATGTCAAGTGTGTTTCTCAGCCAGCAAGGCTTGAATCTGCACTGGGCCGCAGAGTGGGTCCTCGCCACGCTCATGTCTGTGTGTGTTTTGGGCAGTCCCTTCACTCGCTCTCCCTCCGGGAGGTCCCCTCGGCTCTGCGGGCTCCTTGCAGCATCTTCCTGCGTTCCAGTTTCCATCAGGATCCTCTGCCACGTCTTTTAACCAGGGGCTTTAATGTGGTGCTGAGTTGCTGTGCTCCAAAAGTTCAGAGCATAAAAYATATTACCTAAGAGATACGACAGGTTTAAAAAAAAGGTACATCTTAATATACTTTTTTTTTTCAAGCGAACAGGATTTGGGGGCTTTTTTTTATTGCTTTTTTTGCTTGGTTGCTTGCTTGTTTTGCAGTAATTTGCTTATTTTGAAGACAGCCACTGAACAGCCCAGGGTGCCTAACACTTCAASCAGTTGTTTTAACAGCAAGAGATAAAGAGATAAAGGTGTGGCATAAAACTGGACATGTGCATTACATACATATATATRTGTGTGTGCACGCACATATATATACATATATATTTACATCTATTATATATATATAAAATATATATATAACCCTCTTGAAAGCCMGTGGGGCCAGCACGTTGGCTCACCCTCTAAGCAGATACGTGGTTAGATGGTACAGGCACATTAAAGACTAGTATATAATTCAGCTGTTTATCTTTCATCCTCCAGAGGCCAAAACACTTTAAAACCTTAAAGCTTCTGCAAAAATATCTTAGGACTGGGCAAATCAGCACTTTTGAGCACCGATATCAATAATCTTGAATGTATTTACAGCTCGAATAATTACTATTTTTTAAAAGCTCTACTAAATTGCAAGCTGATCAAGTTAGCTCAGACTGCAGCTTAAACACAGCCAACGATGGGCTCTCAAACTCACTTGCCGTTACAAACATTAAATACCGAGCAGGCCACTTTCCATTTTTAATGCTCTGTAAAAACAAGCTTTACCAAAACAGCAAACAAGACTTTGACCTGCCCAGATGCTGCTTCTCCAATGCTGCACTTTTCTCTTTTTTCTTTTTTTTCCTTGGGTAAGTGTAAAAACACCCAGGAATTCATAAAATTTAAAGAAGAGAGCAAAATTACGCCTTGCAGCCATCGTTATCACAAATAATGTACAGTCTAAATTGCAGCCTGAATAAACATTATTTGCTGGCTTTCTTTGCAAGCCCAAGGCAGGATGCGGAGCAATTATTAGCAATGAGCACAATGACAATTTGCATTTGAATGCGGGGCGCTGGGGGGGTCCAGGGGGGTGGGGGTTGCAAACCCGCTTCATTCACAGCACCACAATACACCGGCTGCTAAAAGCAACTTTATTAGTATCCTGCAGCAAAATACATTAGTAATTTGTAACGAGGCATTAAAATCCTTGTCTTGCAGCATACAAAAGTCATGGGTTTTCTTCGCGCCACACGCTACAGGGGGTTTCCTGCCTTTGCTCCGGGGTGATCCGCCTTCGGATAGGGAGGCAAAAACCCTCAGGAAAGCTCCGCTGCAGAGTCACCTGCAGATGCCCCGTACCAAGAGCCCAGGAAGGGGCTGGCAACAGCAGCAACGCTTAGTTAATGCACCGCCAAGCCCTGCTCCAAATCCTGCTCTGAGGAATCCTGTCCATCCTCATCCCCTCCAAACCAACTCCAACMCTCCTGCTTAGGAAAGGCCACCGCGTGCTCTTGTTCCAGCTCTTTTGCAATTGCAGCCGTGCAGTCATGGCCCTGCAATTCTGTATTTTTGCATTTGTTGCAGCATGCGGAGCTCCCTCCCTGCCAGTCCCTGCGGGGAGACACATGCAGCGATCCCTCCAGTCCTGCGCGTGTGGCATGATTCAACCAGCAACGTTAACCATTAGTGTTAGGGTAAAATCCTCTTTGGTTATAGAATATTTTATTTAAAGCAAGATTATACAAAATAATTTTTGTGGGTTTGTTTCTTTTCCGTCTAGAAATACACCCCAGAAATCTAAAAGCAATCTAAATCAACACACTCTGGCAGGCTGAAGCTATACGGAGAGGATGTGTAAATTTTGAGTGTTCCCCCATGAAATCTAAACAAAAGTTATCAAAATTATATTAAGTAAATAGATTTGCAGGAATAGTAAACTCTTGAGAATCCTTAGAATATTAAAAGTAGAGTTCTGGAAGTAGCAGTAGTGGACTAAAGGAAAAAATAACTGAGATAGAAACCTCTTTAAATACTTTCCATGGCCTTGAACTCACTGAGAGCCTGCACAGGATTAACGTGCTTCTTCTGGGATGCCCTCTTGATCTTTGTTTGAGTTTCATCCTGCTTCTCCCGCTTGACCAGGGGTTTCTTCTCGGGAGCCTTCATCTTCCAGGAGACGGCAGGGAGGTTGAGGGAGGCCATTCCCTGCGACTTCTGGTATTTGGTGGAGGCCACGTAGGAGGTCTTCACTGTCTGCACCACGGCATTCATCAAATTCTTGGCTGCTTGGATGAGAGACATGGCACTGTCCACCTGGAAGAGAGCAGCACACGGGCGTCACGGAGTGGCAAGCCCAGGTATGCCAGGAAGYGTGGCATTCTTGGAGGCTTTCTCCATAAGAATGCTTGGAAATTGCTTTTCCCTCTTCTTTAAAAATGGGTTTATTTCAAAACGGAGGCAACATTTTAATTTGACACTAAAATGACTCGTGCCACGGAGAAGGAAGAGCAGCGTCTTTGCACATGACCTGGGCCTCTTCCCCGCTACCGGCCTTCTCCAGGCTTTGCATGTACCTCTGTTTGCCCTGGTGGCTACRCTTAAACAGCAGCTCACTCCCTAATGAGATATATACAGCCGTGGCAACAGCTTAATCACTCATTAATAAATATTTCAATCATACTAGAATATTAAGTTGTAATCACAGGAAGCAACAGGCTTGTATCTTTAGGCAGGGCTGTAGCAACAGCTAAGATTTACCCTGGCACAATTAGTGTCCATTTCCCATGTGATGCTGAACTGGAATTTGGCATTTGGGACTGCAGTCTGGAGGGGGTGAAGCAGCAGCATGTGGAAATGCAGGGAGAAAAAAGGATAAAACGCAAACTTGTGATAGTGAGGGGAGGGAGCAGGCGCTGCAGGCAGCCAGGGAAACCGGCACCTCACGGATTTGCTGTAATAGCAGCTTAATAGCGCTTGATTCCCACGGGCTGGGGGGAGTCTGCGTTGAGTCAACCGTTGCACCTTGCACCGATTCAATTGAATTAGCAAAGTAAATTGCAAAATTGAGCGTTGAGTGAAGGCGGGTTCACCCCTCGCTGCCCACGCAGCTCGGCGCTGCCGSCCTCTGCGCCCGCTTTCAGCCCAGCGCCCAGGGCACGGGGCTGGCACCCAAACTCCTTCCTCACCGCTCAAAGCCTTAACCAGGAGCCTTGCAAGATTATCCCCCCTGCTCTTTTACCTGTTACCCCACTCGATGAATTTGGCCCCTGGTTGAACCCTCTGGTTTGGGGTTCAGATGCTCCTTGCAGGCAAAAGAAGGGACGGAACCCCAGTCCACGTCCCCAGGTGTCTGCAGGACGAAGGGCTCTTGGAAGCTCCTCGCCAGGTGCCCTGCTGCCAACCAGCCTAAGCCACCGCCCCCAAGCTGCCCCCACTGCATCCGCTATGTCCATGGCTCTTCCCAGCAGGAAAAATCATACTGACAGCAAGGAAAGCAAGAAGGGACATTTCTAACCCAGCTGCTGGGTCACCTGGGCTGCAAGCTCTCCCTGCCTTGGTTGCAGCCCTGTTTCGATAACACTCTTGCTGTACAAGGCGCTACTGCTTCATGCAGGGAGAGAAACCTTCTTCAGGTCACCTGACTGCCGGGATCGGACCCGTGGATGACCCTGAGCCCCTCGCCTGGTCATGCCACCCTGGCAGCAGCTTCCCAGTCAGCGCCCTAACCCAGCAGATGCTCACCAGCTCCTGTAACTCATTTATGGTGGAAGGGCATGGAAATTCAGGAGACAGCACCTAACTGTGTCCCTGCACAGTGACAACCTCTGCCCCTGACAGCACTGTGCCCCTGGCCGCACAGGTAAGAGGCCACCAGGCTGCAGGGGAGACAGCAAGAAAGGGCTTCCCACGTTCTGTTCCTTCTGCCAGCTCCC